TGGACACTACCACTCAGTGGACTGACAAAAAGAATTACTTACTTCAGATATGCTGCTTACTGTCTTTGACATTTGACTTAATTTTTTTCTTAATGATATGAAGTACATCTGGGTTTTTTTTCTTGATTGCCAAGACATCAGAGGGCATGTTTGAATTCTAATCATCTGTGGGAACTTTGACCTCAGTTTAACGTCAAAGTCCTGCTGCTTGAATTGTCTAAAACTCTGATGACAGTTGTAGATTAGAGTGGCTGTGGCTCAGGAGGTAGAGCAGGAGTGTGAGTGTGAATAAATATGACATAAAGCACTGCTGATTGAGACATGTATGAAGTGATTTGACTGCTCAGGTAGAAAAGTACTACATAAGAGCTAGTCTGTTTAGATTGAATAAGGAGCTCGTGGTAAATGGAAGCTGATAGTTTTCTCAGAGACGTTTTAATATCAGCACCAGATCATTTTGGAAAGACTCCACAGACCTTTGTCTTCTTATTGTTTAGGGCTTACATGTTTAATTGACTTCCTGCAGGTTCCACAGAAACATGCCCCGGTGATGAGTGGGGGGGTTTAGGGCAAACTTTATTTAATGAACAATTAAACCACATATTCACTTTAAAACAAAAACATTCTGTAACGATGAACTAGTACTATATTATGTGTGCTGATATTGCATTAAACCATATTGTACACATGCAAACCACTCTGAAACTCTTTATTCTTCTTTATGTTGCTTATGGTCGCTGTTTGGTTTCCAACAGTTAAATCTCACCTGCAGACACGAACACAAGGATGACAGCAAACAGCAGAGTCGAGCAAAGACACGCACATGTTCCTGCAGCCATGTCCGCGCTGTAGTCCGACGATCTTTGTTTAAAATCCCGCCTGCTGATATTATCCGTGAATAACTGGACCGGGGTCTAAAACTTGACTGCGTTAGTTCAAATTCCAAGCGAGTGTGAAACATGTATCTCTTTCAGCCGCTCATCTTGAATAAACGCTTTCGATTTTCCTGCGCCTGAATTATCACAAAAAAGTACCTCTTATCTGTTTTTTTTTTAATCTAAAACTTCACCCTCGAGCTCCATATGAAGCCTGGGGAAAACAAACAGGAGCAGCCGTTAAACTGTCAGTGGGCAGACAATACCCAGAACACGCCCATTTTTCTTTCAGTTGTTTTCATATAAACGAGAACATGAAGTGAAAATATGTCAAACTGTGCAAAGACAGGAAAGACTTTTGTTA